AATAGAAAAAATGATTTATAATTTCTAACTTCTGGTGGGGCCACTAGTCCTTCATTGTCTCAAGTTAAATTTGGGTGTGTGTTCAGGTGAACCTGCTGGATGCCATGGAGAACTTGGACCAGGAGACGTACGAGTTTAGGTTTGGTGAGGAGCTGGTGTACACCACCCTGCTGAGCGACAGCCAGATGGTGGAGCTCATCCCCGGTGGCAGTAACGTGGCTGTTCGCTACAAGGACCGCAGCGAGTTCATCCGCCTGGTGCAGAAGGCTCGGCTCGAGGAGAGCAAGCAGCAGGTGGGACTTACTGCCTTCCTATACATCGCTAAATCATCGAATTGCGTGCATGTGCCTCATTGTCTGTTTGTGTATTACAGATTGCAGCCATGCAGGCAGGGCTGCTGAAGGTGGTTCCTCAGGCGGTGCTCGACATGCTCACCTGGCAGGAAGTTGAAAAGAAAGTGTGTGGAGACCCTGAGATCACTGTGGAGGCCCTGAAACGACTCAGTGAGTGTCCAGCTTAGAATTCATCTTTGACAATAAACACGCAATTTCTGCATTGATTGAACAGGTGACACTACGTTTGTCCACTACTTTGGTCCAGACGGAAATATTTCAACAACTATTAGTTGGAATGCCATGAAGTGTTGTACTGATATCCATGGTGACAAGATAAGCACCTTTCAGTCAAAAAGGATGTAAACAAGCCAAAGAATGTACTCGGATCATCCAAACCACGTCATTTGGAGGATAAATTGAAAGTAAAGTTAATAAAACCCAAATTGTAATATACCAAAGAAGGTGCCCAGCTATTAATTAAGTTAAGGAAAAGATTAAAGATCATCTTCAATTAAATATTGTCATAAGGACTCATTCATGTTTTTTCTATCTCCCGACCAGCACGCTATGAGGACCTGGAACAAATTGACGTCAGAGTGCAACACTTATGGGAAGCACTGACGAGCTTCACCAATCGTCAGTTCACTGTTTACTTGTCAACATTTTACAGAGAATGTGTATTTGTTATGCCGAAAATATTCACCTCTGCTGTACTGAAGAAATGAGCGACATTTATGGTGAACACTTAAAATGTTGCTTTCAGAGGATCGAAGCAGGTTTCTGAGGTTTGTAACTGGTCGAAGTCGGCTCCCTGCACCTATCTACGTCTTTCCTGACAAACAAGGGTGAGTGCAAGTAAATCCCCTACATATAAGTATTACAGTCAAATATGCTGTCTGCTAGCGAAATGCTAACAATAGAACACGATGCTGTTCATTTTTCATTTTTCTGTTTTAGCTTCGAAACGACCGATGCACTTCCACGGTCCTCCACATGTTCCAGCACTCTTTATTTACCCAACTACCCAAGGTATGTCAATGTTCGGCAGGATGTGTTACAATTGTGTTAAAGATGTATTGTTTTTATGGTGCTATGGCAAAACACAATTTGAATACCAGTTGCTTTCATAGTCCATCTTACACTTAATTAAATTCATAGAATGCTCTGAGCTCTTGTGAACTTTTTGTGAAACTGCTTTTTATTGACAGTAATATTACATTTATAGCCTCCAATCCTTTCCTGTCCTCTTGTTCATTCTGTCCTGCAGTGCTAAAGTTTGTGAGGAGAAGCTGCGTTACGCTGCTTACAATTGCGTGGCCATCGACACTGACATGAGCCCCTGGGAAGAGTGAACTCACTGCTGCTTCACTCAACACATCTTGTTGAATGGAGAGACATCTTGTCATTTGCATCACCATATCTACACAACTGCCAATTAATCCTAGCTGTATATAATAAATATCTGGAAACATGGAAATTATATTGTTCTGAATGAAACATTAAATGAAGGGATGTGTTAAAAAAAAAATTTACAAGTTGTGGCAGGTTTCAATGTCAATGGGACATCATAAGACTTTTCTTCATGAGTAATGTTGTACAAATAAAACAGGAAACAGCATCCATCCATTATCTGAGAGTGTTTATCCTATTCAGGGTTGCAGGGGGGCTGGAGCCGATCTCAGCTGACATTGGGCGAAGTCGGCAGACTATTACAGGGCTGGAACTTAGAGACAGACAACCATTCACGCTCACATTCACGGGCAATATAGAGTTCTCTATCAACCTAAGCAGCATGTCTTTGGACTGTGGGAGGAAGCCGGAGAAAACCCATTTTTAGAGCTCGCTGACAATAAAAAAACAAATAACATTGTACGGTACATCAGGAGATGGCAGTTTAGTAACTTTATGAACATCAAACCACTGCATTCTGAGTGTAAAAATAACTGATGTACAAAACCAGGTTTTTGTTAAATAAAATACTGAGTAGATTGTATGACTCAGACAGTAGAATTTTGAATTATCTATCCTATTACAGAACAAATAAATGGATAATACAATTATAATAAAACAAATGAAATGAATGTCCTTTCTAGTTTTTCACAGATAAATAAAAAATAATCAAAAATTATATAATTTTATATCTCTATATTCATCTGCTGTATGTATACATATGTTTTGTATTAATGAAATTAAAATAAAAGCATGCATATGTAACAATTGATCATATTTTATATTTAGATTATTTATAGATATTGAATATAATTATAATTTAAGAATGGTTAATTACAAGTATAATATATATATATATATATATATATATATATATATATATATAT